CCCAAATGCCCCCCAAAGCCTTTTCTCTATCCCACTGCTTTTCCTTTGTTAGCAGTTTTTTAGGTGAGCACACGAAGTCACGAGTTTCATCATGGCATCTTCACACATAGGTGTCACTATACTTTCTTTCTCTCCCATGTCCCCTCCTCTCCTTTCTTCTTCAATTAGTCTCCCTTCTGCCTTCCTGTTACACATATTCCATGACTCTTTTTACTTTTTATTCTAAGGTAAGTTCTAAACTGTCCAGGATGGCCTTGAACTGACTGTTGTCAAGGCAAGCCTTGGACTTTGCATTTTCCTGACTCAGCCACTGGAATAGCTAGGATTCAGGCTTTTGCCACTTGTTTTGTGTATGTCAGACTGGCTTTGTACTCAGCATTAGCCGAGAACACACTGCCTGTGTCGGTCCTGCACAACTGCCTGCTAGCTAGCTGCTAATGGACCTAGCAGAAGCAGACAATGCTGACAGTCTCTGGCTACCTCTGACTGCCCCTTCTCCTCTTTCCCACCCTCCAAGCCAGAGAACCTGCTGTACTACAGCCTGGATGAAGACTCCAAAATCATGATCTCCGACTTCGGCCTCTCCAAGATGGAGGACCCAGGCAGTGTGCTGTCCACAGCCTGTGGGACTCCAGGATACGTGGGTGCGAAGGGCTCTAGGTTGGGGCTGGGGGTGAGGAAGGAGCCAGGAATTGCAGGACAGACATTAGTCACCACCATGTCCCCTTCCCTCCACAGCCCCTGAGGTCCTGGCCCAGAAGCCCTACAGCAAGGCCGTAGACTGCTGGTCCATAGGGGTCATTGCCTATATCCTGTAAGTGGGGGCACAGTTAAGGTAGCCTGTGTCTAGAGTTGTCTTCCCTCCTTTGTTCCCTCCTTCTGTAGTTATAGCTACCAGCTAAATACTAACAGGGGTATGGAGAGATGGCTCAGTGGTTAGGAGTGCTTTCTGTTTTTCCAGAGGACCCAGCACCCACATGGTAGCTTACAACCATGTGTACCTCCAGTTCCAGGGAATCTGGTGCCTTCTTTTGTCTCTGTGGGTTCATATACATGGTGCATAGACTTACGTGCAGGCAAAATATCCATATACAAACACACAAAATGACAAGTGTTTCCAGCACTGTGTAAACACCAAGCATTTAGCAGAAGGCAAACCAAACCAAGTGCTTGCCCTTAAGAGCTGACACAGAGCTGAGCGGTGGTGGTGCACACCTTTAATCTTAGCACTCGGAGGCAGAGGCACGTGGATTTCTGCCATTTTGAGGCCAGCCTGGTCTATAAGAGTTAGTTCCAGGACAGGCTCTAAAGCTACAGCGAAACCCTGTCTCAAAAAACAACAAAAACAAACAAACAAAAAACAAAGAGAGAAAGTTGACACATAGAATCAATGAGTAAACGAATCTATAAAATACTGTCACGTGCTAAATCAGTGAAGAAAATCCAAGCACAGTAGGAGATGGGGACAGATGTCATTTTGGATAGTTAAGGACTCTTTGTGGAGGTGACATCTGAACAGCTTTTTCTTGTTTGTTTATTTTTTGAGACAACGTTTCTCTGTAGTTTTGGAGCCTGTCCTGGAACTAGCTCTTGTAGACCAGGCTGGTCTGAACAGCTTTTGAATGATGTAAAGGATCCAGACAATTTAGGTGTGGGTAGAATGTCAAACACAAAGGTGCTTAGGACAGTAGGCTCAAGGGACAGAGGCCAGACTGGTTCTTGGCGCTGTCCCAAAGCTCCAACCCCAAGTCAACGAGTTAAAGCTGACATGACAATGCGTTTTTCTCTGCCCAGGCTCTGTGGTTACCCGCCCTTCTACGATGAAAATGATGCCAAACTCTTTGAACAGATATTGAAGGCCGAGTATGAGTTTGACTCTCCTTACTGGGACGACATCTCTGACTCTGGTATTGGGTCTTTTGCCTTCTTCATCTGCTCTAGGGGTCTTCCCACTGTCTGTCTTCTGTCATATCTCCTAGTCCCCAGACTAGAAGCTAATATCATGTTTCACCTTAGGTGCCCTCTATTTGGCCCCTAATCTGACAGATCTGTAGGCATTCATTCAGTCTTCAAATAGAGTTTTTACAAAAATAACTCCCCTAAGGCTGACTTCCCTGAGGCTTAAACAGCACACTTCCATCTCCCATTTCATGTCCCAGCTGGTGATAGCTACACAGTGGTTTACACATTAGAGTAGTGTGAGTGTACTGAGTGGATTCTTCTCGAGGAGGCTGGGGTGTGTGAGGTGATGCATAAGCAGAGTAGGCCTTGTTGCCAGGTGAGATCAGAGGGACTGAGCACTGTCTTGGGAGTGTCCATGGGCATGGTCATGCTGCATCTTTACTTTTGTCTTGGGGCTTCAGCCAAAGATTTCATACGGCACTTGATGGAGAAAGACCCGGAGAAGAGGTTCACTTGTGAGCAAGCCTTGCAACACCCATGGTGAGAGTTCCCACTCCAAATGGTATGTTAGGGTGGGACCTGGGAGCCCCAGGCCTGCCTCCAGCCCGCTGCATACCCTCCCACTCTAGGATTGCAGGAGATACAGCTCTGGATAAGAATATCCACCAGTCAGTGAGCGAGCAGATCAAGAAGAACTTTGCCAAGAGCAAGTGGAAGGTGAGCATATACTCCTAATCCTTGGTCCTCCCTACATTCAATTTACACAGCACCCAGTAACAAATGTAAGCAGGATAGTGGGGCTTGACATGCCCAGGGAGGCTTTCCAAAGAATCTCCTTTGTTCTGGACTTTAGAGGCCACTTGACCTCTAAAGTCCATCTCTAGAGGGGCAGTCCTACTCTCCAGGATTCATAGCCCATGGAACCCAAGAAGGGTCAGAGAGGTGGTCACAGATCTGTTGGTTGACTAGTAATTAACCAGTTGTGGAGAATATGCCTGAGGCAGAGGGACCAGGGGTGCAAAGAGGCCTAGGTAAGAGAGTGTGGCCGAGTGTTAAGCCTGCTGAATTAGAGGGGCTGGAGGAACTAGGGGAACTAAATATCAAGAGCCTAGGCTGTAGAAGCTGGTAGGAGTCACTGAGATCCTTGCATGCTACAGTGGGGCACCCACCTGTTATAGAGGATGGTCCCAGAAAGACTGACAGCAGGAACCTGTCTGAAGAAGGATCTGCTTTGGGGATGCAGAGAAGGCAAGGAAGGAAGTCTGGGAGGCTTCGGAGATGCAGCAGATAGTGGGGCTTAATTCAGAAGCAGCAAGAAGAACACAGAGTGATTGACAGCAGGAGGTAGACTCACAAGAAAGAAAAGATGGGCGACATACTGAGGGAGTGAGATGTTAAGGGCTGCCCCAACCTTCTGGCTGGGGACAATGTGGACCATGATACTGAACATAGGAGCAGAAACATGTCTTGAGGAGGTTTAGTTTTAGACATGGTGAACTTGAGAGACATGTATGACATCTAGGTGGATAAGAGGAATATAAAATGAAAGAAACAAATATGTAAATTATTTAACCTTTGTGCACTTCAGTTTTCTCCTTTAGAATTAATGCCATTCCAGCACTTGGGGAGGGTGATGTCAGTCTGCTTGGGCTATGTGAAACCTTGCCTCAAAAGGGGGCGGGGGTGAATATATAGCTCAGCTGGCAGTGATTGCCTAGCATGCACAAAACCCTGGGTGGGAGCATTAGCATCACATTAAAACTGGGCACGGTGGTGGCACATTCCTATAGTCCCAGGACTCAGGTGATAGAGGTAGTACTGGAAGACAGCCTGGCCTACATGACAACCCATTTAAAAAAAAAATAAAAGAAATCAATGCTATTAATAGTGCTTGCCAGAGCCAGGTGCAGTGGCACACACCTTTAATCTCAGTACTTGGGACTGGGGGGTAGTGGTGCACACCTTTAATTCCAGTACTTGGGAGGCAGAGACAGGTGGATCTCTGTGAGTTTGGGGCTAGCTTGGTCTACAGAGGGAGTTCTGAGAAAGGCTCCAAAGCTACAGAGAAACCCTATCTCGAAAAACCATAAACCAAACCAAACAAAAACAAAACCAAACAAAAACAAAAAGCCAAAACCAAATAAAAAGTGCTACCTCACAGAATTTTGTGAGGATTAAATGAATAACCATGCAGTGTGCTCAGAGCTGTGCTTGACACATTGTTATGTTGTCTGTTACAGGACTATGAATTCCTTTGTACATACTTTATACATGTGCTTGTATGTAAGACCGAATATAATTTAGTGAGGCCTTATAGGGTTTTCTCTGGAGGACTTAGGGAGTCACTAGTAACATGTGAGACTCCTGCAGACCCACCGCCCTCAAGGCACTCTTTCAGCAGTCCCCCCTTCTCTTTTTCCACAGCAAGCTTTCAATGCCACGGCTGTGGTTCGGCACATGAGGAAGCTGCAGCTGGGCACCAGCCAGGAGGGGCAGGGACAGACAGCTAGCCACGGGGAGCTGCTGACACCAACGGCTGGGGGTAAGCACCAGGGTCCTGTGGGTGGGGACAGGTGGTCCATGAAGGCTGGAGCTGGAGCCGCTCCACAGCCACCTCTGCTCTCTTCTCCACACAGGGCCAGCAGCTGGCTGTTGCTGCCGAGACTGCTGTGTGGAGCCAGGCTCGGAGCTGCCCCCTGCACCACCCCCAAGCTCTAGGGCCATGGACTGAACACCAAGGAAGTCAGGGTTTCTTTCATGGGAGGGGTTGGGGGCAGCCTGTTTCCTCCTCAGCCCAGAACTGGGGAGTTTCTTACCCCATCCCTCTTCACCCCTTCCCTCTCACTCCTCATTGCATTTTCCATACAAATGTTTCTATTTTATTGTTCCTTCTTGTAATAAAGGGAAAATAAAACAAGACAGCCCTATTTCCTCAAACAGTTCCCTCGCCCCTGATGTAAAAACTGCTTGATTTGGGGGTGCTGGCCTCTGAGGTAGGAGTGGTCAGTCTTCTTGGCGTGAAACTGGGTGGGGAAAGAGAAGAGAGTGGAGAACAAAGGGAAAGATACTAATGACATCTTTTGTCCCCTGGGTCCTACCTAGCCTTCTGGTCTCTTAGAGCCCTTCCTGCGCTTTGCTGGTGGCTTCCGAGCCTGGTTTGGTTGGCGTAGATCAGCACTGAACAGCACCTGTGGGAAGGGGCATAAGGAGTCTAAGGGAAGGAGGGGCTGTTGAGGTCAGGCTGGGGTCAATGGAGAATAAACTGGGGAGGGGGTGGGAGGGGGAGTCATGGAAATAGGTGGCTGAAGAGTCCAGGGGTCAAGCACGGCTGAGGGAGAAGTCCTTTAGGGTCTGAGCTAGGTATACTTACTGCTTGGGCCCAGCCAGCATAAGGTCCCCAGAGATTCCGGAAAAAGTTTCCTAAGGATCAATTAAAGAGGCTACATTAATTGATCCACATGCCCTCCATCCTCAGATGGGGAGTATGGGAGAGATGATTATGAATGCAGAGATTCTCCAACCTCAGCCCAAGGCCCCAACATCACACATTTTCCTCACCCAGTTCTTTGTTGGCCAGAGGGCTCGGGCTCTTAGCCTGGGATGTGTTAGGTTGCCAGCCGTAGTCACGCTGGGCGATCTGCCATACATGGACGTCCACTGGCACAGCCTGGGGTTTGTCAAGGGCCATTAAGCAGATGCAGTCAGCCACCTTAGACAAAGAGAGAACTGTTGTGTGGAGGAATGGCAGGATCTGGCCACCATCCAAAGCCATCTGCTTCCTCTTTCTACCAAGGTAGCACTGTTCTGCCTTTTCAGTCAATATGCAGCAATTACCCATTTCTTCTAAAAATAGCTTCACGGAGATGTGCTCTGGAGTGAACACCTGTGTAGGCCATACGCTCATATAACCTGGGGAGAAGGTATGAGCATACTCTTTACAGAGCTAAGAAACCTGAGCCTCAGTCAGGTGGTGGTGCCACACGCCTGTAATCCCAGGATTTGGGAGGCAGAGGCAGACAGCTCTCTGTGAGTTCAAGGACAGTCTGATCTACAAAACCAGGACAGTCAGGCTGTTACACAGAGATGTCCTGATTTCAGTTCCCAGCAACCACATGGAGGCTCACAGCCATCTGTAGTGAGATCTGGTGCCCTCTTCTGGTGTGCAGGCATACAACACTGTATACATGAGAGAGAAAGAGAGAGAAAGACAGAGAGAGAGAGACAGAGACAGAGAGAGAGACAGAGAGAGAGAAAGCAAAGAAAGAAAAATAGGAGCCAGGTGGTAGTAGCCCTGGCTGTCCTGGAATTCATTCTGTAAACCAGGCTGGCCTCGAACTCAGAGATTTACCTGCCTCTGTCTCCCAAGTGCTGGGATTAAAGGTATGCATCGCCACTGCCCTGCTCCGTTAAAAATTCCTGGAGAGATGGCTCAGAGGTTAAGAGCACTGCCTACAGTTCCAGAGGTCCTGAGTTCAATTCCCAGCAACCACATGGTGGCTCACAACCATCTATAACAAGATCTGGTGCCCTCTTCTGGCCTGCAGGCGTACATGCAGACAGAATACATAGTGAATAAATAAATCTTTAAAAAAAATTCTTTAAGTCAGTGGGGCTGGAGAAATAGCTCGGCAGTTAAGAACACTGGCTGCTCTTTCACAAGATCAGGGCTCGATTCTTAACACCCACATGGTGGCTTACAACTATCTGTAACTCCAGAAGATCTGACACCCTCTTCTGGCCTCCTCAAGCCATACATGCAAGTGGTAGACAAACATACATACAGGCAAAATACACAAATACAGAAAAAAAATACTTTTTTTTAACTTCAAAATTAAATGAAGATCCATTTAAAAATTTAAAAATTGTACCTTCTTATCTATTTGTGGGGCAGGGGTCCCGAGGGCAGCCAAAGAACAACTATGGGACTCAGTTTTCTCCTTCTACCACGTGGGTCTCAGGGACTGAACTCAGGCTGTCAGGCTTGGTGGCCAGCACCAAAAATTCATTTTATAAGCCACCTGACATGGGTCCTTTGGAAGAGCAGCAAGTGTTCTTAACCTTTGGGGCCATCTATCCAGTTCTGAAAATTCATTTTAAGTCACAGAGGAGTATAAAAAAATAAAGGTAAGTTATAAATTTCAGTTGTCTGCTAGATAAATCTACTGATAGCAACACAACATTCTGGAAGCACATGAAATTTCAAGAAAAGAAAAAAATGAAAACTAGAAACATTGTTCCATTTGTCTTCCCAAAAGTAACCAGCATGAACTTCCCTGTTCTTCCCTGTGGAAATCTCTGAACACACACAGGAGTGCACATAAATGCACTGACACAAAGGGCCTTTCTAAAAATGTATCCAAAGGGCAGTCCCTTTTATACTCGATTCTTTCATCTCTGCTAAAACATTTGTTACTCTTTTGTCCTTCCTGCACTTCTTCCAGGAGCCAGGCTTCCCTGGACACTCAGGTCTGTCTTGTTTCCATCTCTCCGACTCTCATTGTGTGGGAAAGGGCATATCCTACCTCTCTAGGGCCTCACCTTGGTGCCCACCCCGGGCAGGGTGCAAAGGGCCTTGTGGGCCTCTTCATAAGAGGCCGCTTGAAGTTGCTGCAGCCAAGCCAGCCCACCTTTCTCTTTGAGGATAGCTTTGGCGCTGGCACATACATAGCGGGCCCGGTACCCTAGGCCCAACTTTCTGAGGTGAGGCTCTGCCTCTGGACCTGTGGGGGCAGAGAGGAAAGGAGGGGTCAGGTATCCTCACTTTGTTCCTGTTCTCGGGTTAGTATATAATATCTCTTCACTCCAATGCTTTCATAGGCACCTCTTCCCTATTTACTGTTCTCTATGAGTCACTAGACAGTTGGATATGAAAAGAAACAGTTAAGACCTGAGTTCTGTCCCCATAAATGTTCTCTTAGTACCTCCTCTGTATTGGGGTCTGAAGCAGGGGCTGAGGACTCCTGCTCTGGAGGAACACCAGTTTTATTAAAGAAGCACTCACATCCATGGCCTAGAAACCCGATGCAGAAGTTCGGTAGATGGCTCAGCAGGTAAATCCAATTGTTGCATAAGCCTAGTGACTTGAGCCAGTCCTAAGAGCCCACATTAGAAGCCAATGTAATCTCAGCACTGCTCAGGTGAGAGGAGAGGCAGAGATAGGAGAATCCACTGGAAGCTCACAGGCCAGCTAGCTGGGATATGCAGCTCAGTAATGAAACAAGAGACTCGCCCCGAAAGAAAGAACTGACGTCTGAAAAGATGTGTGTACTTGCACATACACACACTCACAAAATAGACTCATGAATAAATGATAATAACAGCAAGAGCTGTGTGTTACACACTGACTGGCAAAGCACATTATGCTTACTTAAGGATCCTAAGGACAGCACCATTACGTTGCATATTTTATAGAGAGAACAATAAGGGGTTAGAAGGGGCTAAGTAGGCTAGAGAGCTGGCTCAGCAGTTAAGAGCACTTGTTGCCCTTGCAGAAGACCAGGCCACAGATCTTAGCATCCACATGCTGCCTCACAACCATCAGTAACTCCAATTCTAGGGGATCTGATACCCTACTGACATGATGTCTACTGACATCTGCCGGCACCAGGTATGTGTACATTGTGCACATGTACACATGCAGACAAAACACTCATACATAGAACATCAATATTTTTAAAATAAAAAAACCCCAAAAACCTAAGTTATTGAGGAAAATACTTGACACTGATCTCTGACTTCCACAGACACATACATTCATGCACATGCACACATACATGCACATACGTGCAAACACTAGCTACCTCCTCACCTACTGACCCCTACTCCCTCAACACAAAGAAAGGGCATGGTGGAGATAGGATCTCTCAGGTGGAGGCAGTAGTGCCTGTGTTCTTAAACTTATTCCTTTCAATGTCTCACCATCAATTCATCTACCCCCAAACCCTTCCAAATAGAAACTGATATTCCCAATCTACAAATAAATTAAGTCAAACTCAGAGATCCACCTGCCTCTGCCTTCTGGGTGCTGGGATTAGAGGCATGCACCACCACCTTCCAGCAAAGACCAAGAGCAGAGACTTAAGGTCCTTCTTTGCACCAAAAGACACCCCGTTTGAGAATGTACCAAGGCAGGCTTCTTGCTGCTTAGTTCCTAAGCACTTCATCTGCTAACCAATACACTTGCCTCATAGGACAAGTGAGCTGGGTTCACTTTAGTGACAACAGCTTGAATTTTCCACTTATTTTCTGCTAGATGCAGGATCTATCTCCCTTTATTCAATCCTCATGATTATGACAGACAGAATATGTAGCATTATTTTCCATTTCACAGATTCGGGTCTGAAACACACACATGCTAAACAACATTTTTAAGGGTCAGAGTTAGGATTCAGATCTAGGCAGTATGTCTCAGATCACATGCCTGTAACCCTAAGCTACTGAACACTGTGTACAGATGTTTCCCTAATGAGGTACTGGATACACTGGCAAACAGCCAACTAGTGAAGCGCTGGTATTTCAGGATGAAATCCGAGGATGAGCTGTAAGGGACTGATCAGACCAAGGATAGTTCTGGATGGAGACAGGGTTGGGATGGTGGGAAGTTCTGAGACAGGAGCAGGTCGCTTGGGGAGAACTGAACATGTCTTCCTTTCCAAGTGCTCAGGAGGACCGACCTACTCACCAGCCAGGGCCTGAAGGCTGGGGAAACCATGATAAGTGACATCATCAAGCTGAATGAGTTGAGGTCCAAAGGCCTGGCATAGCCGTTCTACCATGCTGGTGATTCGAGCAATGTTGTTGTTGGAGGAACAGATAAAGGAGAAAAGGCATTCCGTGGGGTCTTGTCTCAGCAATCTCACACCTAGAAATTGGAAAGGCAGGGGTAGGAGACACATCTGTTTAAGGACTGGCTTCCTGGAATCCCTCCACAACAGATACTACAGTTAGAGTGTCTAAGGAGACGCAGGAGAATGAGGGAGAGAAATCAATGCTAGACCTCTCGTGCCTCGTAGCATCTTCTGAGGTCTGAGTGCCCACCCCATTCCACTGAGGAAGAAATGACACCATGCCATCACCACAGGAGCAGGGCTCTGTGTCCATTTTCCACCTTCCTATAGCCCCAAAGAGCAAATGCGCTCTTGTATATAATGACAGAATGAATGACGTCACCTGCTCCAGGACACATGGCCAGGATTAGACCCCTACATTTATCATTTCACTGTGGTGGTAAACATCATCATTACTATACTAACAACAGCAATGTACTAAGTACCAGTCTAATCACTTTAATAAGTAAATTTTTTTTATTTGTTATCAACATGAGTCTATGAGTGTGGGCATACTGAGAGCCTTGGCTCCTGCGTGGAGGTCAGAAGACAACTTTTGGTAGTTGGTTCTCCTTCCACTGTGAGTTCTGGGCTTAAACACAAGGTCATCAGGCTTGCCCAGCAAGTGTCTTTATCTGCTGAACCATCTCACTGGCCCTGTATCTCCATTTTACAGAAGGCAAGCTGTTATAGAGCTGTGAGTTAACCAATGTTCAAAAGCTACCATCCCTGCCCCTTGTACTCACCTTGGAATTTCTGAGCCACTGTTTGGAAGTGGGAGTCCACAGAAGCCCAATGGCTATACAGCTGAGCCAGGCTGACATCCAGCTGAAAGTACTTGTGTAAGGCTTCCAGCTCCTCTAGGGTGGGCCTGCCGGCCTGGCTCTTGTCTCCTCGGTACACAGTGCAATAGAGCTGCTCCTCGGTCTGAGTCAGTGTCCATACTTGGTCCGCCAGCACGCCGCTCCAGTGCGCTGGGCTTTGCTCCTTCCACCTGAGCACCCAGCAGACAGTTCCGGCACTCAGTCACCCATCTTGGGCTCTTTAAAGTCCCTACTGTCTTACAAATGTCCCACCCAAAAACCGATTTATTAGTTATAAAGTAAAAGTAGTATGTTTTCGCCGGGCGGTGGTAGCGCACGCCTTTAATCCCAGCACTAGGGAGGTGGAGACAGAGGCTGACGGATCTCTGTGAGTTCGAGTCCAGCCTGGTCTACAAGAGCTAGTTCCAGGATAGGCTCCAAAAGCTACAGAGAAACCCTGTCTCGAAAAATTAAAAAAAAGTATGTTTTAATAATAATAATAACAACAACAACAACAACAACAACAATAAAAGCACTGGGGACTGAACCTAGAGCCTTGTGACAACAACAACAACAACAACAATAAAAGCACTGGGGACTGAACCTAGAGCCTTGTGCATGAAAAACAAGCACTCATCACTGAGCTGCATCCCTCAGCTTCCCCACTGACTTTTACTGCTCCTCACAGCACTGTACGCTCACTACATCTACTTCATACAGGAGGTAACGAGCTCACCACCAGTGCTGATTCTCCAAAGTGCGCTCTCCCTCATCCATCACTCCCAACATTCTTACTCTCTTTGCATTCCCGGTGGGCAGCATGGGGGGTCAGCGTCCCAGGGAAGGGTCCGCCCAAGCTCAGACACTCACCGAAAGGACTGTCCAGAAGATAAAACCAGGTCCAGTCGCAGCTCAGAGCGTGGACACGGGATAGAGGCCCAGAGGCCCGGGCTGGAGGTTAGGGTGCGATGCCTCATGCTGCCAGGTAGACAAGAACCGAATAACATTCGGATAGCAGTCTCCCGCACATCACGGCCCGGCTACTCAGAACCCGACCTTCCCAAGCCCGGCCTCGCTCGCAAGTGACCACGGCCCCTCAGGGGGTAGCACCTAGGATCCAGGCTCTGGATCTGGTGGAAGGCCGGTCCCCATTTGAGTTTCCCTCTTCCTGTGGGCCTGCCTCCAGCAGGAAACCAGTCCTACCCCTGCCCACTCTGCAGTCCGGTGGAGCAAGCCCCGCCTCTTCCTCCTGACGTGGCCCCGCCCCCAAAGCCTCCCGGCTCATGCCTCCTCATCCTCTGGGGCATCCATAAGAGTTTTGGAAAGCCGCGTCAGTGAGGCTCTTCCGGGTCCCAGTTTACTGTCACCGGAAGTAGATCCAATCGCCGGCTTATTTGATCCTAGAGGTAGCCAATCCGAGGAGAAAGTGATAGGCGCCAATGAGAACTCGGGTGTGGCCCAGTGGGCGGGCCTGTCTGAGGCGCCTTAGCGGTTGGTTTGCTGGCCTCGCTGTGGGCGATTTGTCGCTGGCGGCCGGACTCTGCCATCTCAGGGCTTTCGGTGTGGTCTCAGGGCCTGCGACTTCTCGGGTTGGCCCGCTCTATCTTTGCAGGGCGTGGTGGTACACTCACGTCGTCCCAGCACTAGGTAGGCAGAGGCGGGAGGATGGCCGCACGTTCGAAGGTGAAGTAGGCTGGGCTACATGGCGAGACCCTGTCTCAAGAAACAAACCAAAAGAACCTACCTCATTCTCCCCTGCTCAAGCCTTTCGCCAACGAGCCTCTAATCTTCTGAGGCAGTGTGAGTGAATCCCAGAGAATCCTCTTGTTAGTGCTGTCCCCTCCACCTCCTGCCATGCGGCTCTAAATGTGCCATCCCTGCCTTCCTCCCAGGCTTCAGAGGCCAGTCTCGGCTCTAGCTACCCACTTCAATCTGGGCACGTTCCTTCAAGTATACCCAATCTGCCCTCACGCCGCGTGGAATAGGGCCTGTGTATGGGCTTTCTTTGGGGTTCACTGAGTCCCAGTACCAATATGTGGCTCCCAGGCAGCCTAACGGACCAATTCAACTACCAGCACCTTGACCCAAAAATGACAATATCACTTAAAATTTTCTCGAAGATATTAAAAAATGCTGGAGGCTAGGAGGCATGAACTTGAGACATTTGCCTGACACACGAAGACATTTTCCACTTAACAGAGATTTTGGGGGTTTGTACCTAAATTATTGGACTACAGATTCGAGGGCAAGGTCTGCTGCTGATTTATCTTTGTGTCCTATGTACACCAAAGCACAGCACACCCACTAGAGTACATTCGGCATCAACATCAAATAAATGGGAATTTTCGTCTCAGTTCATTCCTAAGTAGCTGCAAGACCTGGGGCAGCCACATCTTACTTTGGTAACCCCATCTATAGGCATGTCACCTTCCAGGTGCCTGGCACTTAGAAGGCATTCCTTCCAACAAGTGTTTGAATTGGAAAAACACCAAGTTTGGATGTGTATGAACAGTCTTGTACAACCCCACTGTTTCCAACTAAGGTCTCAACTGTAGTGTTTGAAGCACTTAAGCTATGGTCCTAATAAAGGACTTGAAGGAATCCACAAAGGAAATCAGCAATAGACTATGGTTTTAGCATGCCAGCTGAAGAGCCAGCTTTCCAGACAAATGATCTTGAGTTTAAATCCTAGCTCTGCAACTTCTTAGTTGTAAGAATTTTAGCAAGTTAGTTCATTTTTCTAAACCTCAGCATCTGAGATAAAAAACTTGCTATTAACCCACTCCATAATTACTGTGAAGATTATACAACAGTGTACCTAAAGTTACTTAATATGGGCCTGTCACTATGGAGGTAACTGGCCTATTATTAATTAGCCCACCCCATAGTTACTGCAGGGATTAGAAACAATTTATGTATTTGTAGGTACTTAAGTCAGTGCCTGACACTCAGGGCATAGGAAATATACTTTCAGTTTTTTTTTTTCAGAAACTTTTAAAAAATAGGTTATTACTATGTTATTTTGCCTGGGCTTGAACTCATGATAATCCTCCTGCCTCAGCACCTCAAATCCAGGGATTAGAGGACTGTGCCACCATACCTAGCTTGCTGATGTGTTGTCTTATGATTAGCACACACAGAATAGTCAGCAAACCCTTTGGCTCAAGTACATCCCATCCATGAGACACAGATCTCTTCCTCTGAATCCTTCTGCCATGGTAGAAGGCAAGAAAAAAGAATTCTAAGTAGACTTTATTTTCTAAGAATCAATATATTTTCTTCCTTTGAAATAAATACAAACCAGTTTGAAAGGTAGGGAGGATTCTATGGGGGAAAAGAAAGGACATAGAGACAAGCTCCATTCTTTTTTTTTCTTTTTCTCTTTTTTAGTACCAAATGACTCTGGCGCGACCCGGAAACGCAGTTACAAATGAGAATAATTTAAATTCTCCGATAATTACAGTATTTACAATAGCAGGGGAGGGGTCACCTAGTGCCCCTCTTCTAGGCTAGACAGACATCAGTCCCACTGCTAGGCTGGGATAATGCTGGCTTACCTTACCACCTGCAAGGGCCTCAGGCCTCTAGGCAGTTATGAATTCCCCTGGCAAAGCAGGTAGGGATGGTGGTATGGCCTGTTTTATGCAGTATTCTAACCATTTCCCACCACCCTGCCCTACAACACCATGAGGTCTTGAGCTCTTTTTGACCTGTGGGATCTCTCCTCTCCTTGCACTGAGTGGCCATGGGCCCTTGGAGTGTTTTGTACAGTCCAGCTGCACTCAGGGCAGGAGGGACCGCCCCTACCCAACTTCCCCTGAGACTGGCCCCAAGACCAGGAATGAATCAGTGCAGAGGGCGGTATCACTCCAGGACAGTGAGCAAAGGGAAGGAGAGAGGTCACAGAGCACTGTAGGTGGGCTCTGACAGTATCAGTCACTATCGCTGGTCTCGCTGCTCTGCTCACCCTGCACCTTGCTGCGGTGCTGCAGAGCTCTGTGGTAGGCAATCTGCACTGACTTGCGTATGTTGGACTTGCGGCCCTCCAGCATCTTCTCTTTGTCTAGATCTTGGTTCACACCCAGAGGAACGAGTTTAGTCCTGGGCAGCCATTGCCTGTCAGACAAGGTGAAGATGAGATGAGGCATGGATTTCAGGGGGGAGCAAGTACTAGCTCTTCCACACTCTTTGCATTTAGAAATGCCCGATTCTCAGCATCTCTGCTCTCAAGGGACTGTGTAGTGTAATGAGAAGAAAAGCCCAGTCAACAGTTATAGTAGGGGGAATAACTGACACGGGAGAAACCTGAAGTAATAAACTGATGCTAAAGATTTGCTTAGGAAATACTAACTTACACAAAGTAGAAGTTAGCTAAGGGAGTTAGCTCTGCCTCCAATATGACTGATTGGAAGGTGAGTAGTGGACTAACCAGACATGTTAGAAACTGTAGGAAAGCTGGGCAGTGGTGGTGCACACCTTTAATCCCAGCACTCGGAAGGAAGAGGCAAGTGGATCTCTGTGAGTTCGAGGCCAGCCTGGTCTAGAGAGCAAGTTCCAGGACAGGCTCCATGGCTACTGAGTAACCCTGTCTCAGAGGGAAACTCTTACACCATTATGGCAGTCTAGAGTTGCTGAGAAAATGTTTCTGGTAATGTTGGTTTCTCAAGATTAATCTCTATTCCCAGAACAAAATGAGGCAACAATGATGTAAAACCAGCCATTAGGCCCATTCCCATATCAAAGAACATTCCTCTAAGGGGCATCTTAAGGTGGCAGTGCAAGTGACAGCCATCATTAATGTTTGGTCTGCCATTAAGTGAACCTGTTATCAGAAAAAGCATAATTCTGCCAAGTAGCCAAGATGACCCTGGGCTAGAACTATCCAGAAAAGAACAACATTGGTGTACTTAAATAATTATGGTAATTTTTTTGTTGTATAAATCTCCCATTTGCCCAAGTGGCCAGATTTGTAGTCTTCTACCTCTCTTTAAATTGTTGAAAGTGTAACCTGGGGTCATGACTTGGAAGAGATTTAAGGATGACAGTGTATGTGGAATGTTATAAACCTAAAGCCTATTTAAGCTGGTAAAATGTTCTGTTTGAGGCTGGTTCCCTTTTGTGCATGAGCCAGAACCAGTTGCATGCTATTGTTAAAGAGATTTCCCTTTATTCATTTCTTAAGTGTGAGGAGTGATTTCTCACTGGGAAGACATTTTAATTCTACAGTATATAATTCTATAGGGCACTTTATGGGTGCAAAAAGCCTCAAATAGGTATCCTGTCCCAGCTGTTTCAGGGAGACTATCTGCAGGCAATTAATAAAAATTTGACAAGAGAGATTTAAAATCGATTGTTTTTGTCTTTTGAGACATGTTTTCTCTGTGTAGCCCTGGCTATTCTGGAACTCACTCTGTAGACTTGACTTGCCTCGAACTCAGAGATCTGCCTGCCTCTGCCTTCTGAGTATAAAGCCGAAATGTTTATGCTTGCTTTTTTCCCCATCTTGTTACTATAAAGGAAGAAGTGGGAACAATAAGTCTAGAAGTCATCTGAATATGAGCAGGGAGCCACCCTAACTTTGCCAGTCACTGATAGTCCTTTAGTTTCTAGTTACAGTTTGTTTGCCAGCTACTGCCCACTCAGTCCATCAGACTCAGGACAAACATACCCTTTTGCTTAGAGCGATTCTAAGCGTGCCCCCACGCCCAATACTTTGTAATAATCTGTTGCTGAGTCTCTTGACAATCTGCCCCCACATCACAGATGGCTGTATTTATATCTGTGGCTTTACGTCACACCAAATGTACCCCTCTTTCCTTACCAGGTTCGTTTGTTGTCAAAGAAGAGAACGAGGTAGAGATGCTCTCGGGCTTCCTGTGTCATCTGTTCCCCAAGTTTTAGAACCTCCAATGGTGGTACAGGGATGGGAACCCCATGATGGAACATACCTTCTCGGGGCATCTTTGGATCAATGATCTGAGAGTATAATACAAGCCCAGTTTGGTTTAGGTCACTTCCTCCCCAAAGCTAGCACTATCTAAGATTTTTGAAGAATATGTTACTGGGGCTGTAGTGTTGACCTTGCCGTATTATTTCAGAGCCTGGGGGCAAGAGAAAAGATAGGGAGAGATGGAAAATTGACTGGGATCTCTCTGGGGTACTCAAGCTCATCTGTCTAACAGTTAACTTGCTAAGGAGCCCCGTGCTCTGTAAGTTGGCAGGGAAAGGGCAAGGCTACACTTATGAATCCAAATCCTAGGGCTGGAAAGCAAGGGGTAAGGACAAGAGAAACCATAGGCCTACCAGAGCT